CTCCACTCATGTTGGCCTGGGAGTTTAACAAGCCTTCGAAGTGCGGTGCAGTCCAGACCTTTGATTGGCCGAACTGAGCATTCACCTGCATTCAGAAATATGTCGCTTTCCGTGGTGAATTCAGGCCCGTAGATCACACGCAGTTTGTCGATTTTCACCGTTTTCACCTTAGTACAGAGGAAACACTGCCTACATTGGACGGGGGTCTGTATGGCGCTGTTGGTTTTGGTTCTGTGTTTGGGGTTTTTTGGGGTTTTGTGTTTGCTTTTTCCTGTTCTCCTTTGTTCTTTCTTCCCTTCAACATGCAGTGTTTCCTATACTTCTACGATGACCTGGGCACACCGCCCACATGGCGTCCGCACTCGTGAAAAAAAAAATGCGTCATGAACCACAAAACGACACACGATTGATGCCCCGGCGTTGCAGACTTGCAGACGATTTCCACTGTCGCAAACAGGCCAAACTCTGCTGCAGGGAGGGGCGCCTGAGCAGCCGCGAGAGAACTCATCCGTGCAAAAGTTGCACCGCAATAATTTTTGGGTTTGTTTCTTCACCAGCATAAGATGGCCTGTGCAACCTCTGCACTCATGGCGTCTCCACCTGTGGAAAAACATGCAGATCTGCGTGACGCCTGCACATCCGCACTGTCACCTTTCTTTCTTTCTTTCTTTCTTCTTGATGTGTTTTCCACAGCACTGGACAATCACATGTCTCGCCTGAGGATCTTCCAAATGCAGCGCAAGCTGAACCTGTGCACTTCCTGCGTGGATGGCGGCTCGACTCGTGCAAAAAACACCCACCAAAAAGGTCTTGTCTCGTCCTCAACTGAACACTTTCAACATGCAAAGTTCAAAACCGGTCGAAGGGAGCGGGGTGGCAATGGGACCTGGCTTTGGTTTTCAGGGGAATGCTTCAGTGGTAGCCCCTCTCCATATAAACACATGTATGCTGCCTCTGCTCTCTCCATATGAACAAATATATTGTGCACTAATCAGGGTCATTTCATTGGTTTGGAAGCTAATCAGGAAAGAAGCAGGCCATAAAAGTGTCTCTACATCTCTGTTTTTTATTTATGTTTAAATTTGGAAAGATTTTGCACAGACGCTTTTATGTTTAAAAGATCCTCTGTCGATCTTTGCAGACAATCAGTTTTAGATTTAAGCAACTATATAGAAACCTTGTATGTTAAAAGTTTTCTTCTAGATTTCTGCGGGTAAGAGCTTGCATTTTCAAAGTTTTCCTTTGGATCTCTGGGAAAGTAGATATCCCATATATGTGTGTTTTCATGAAATGAAAGCTCTTGAAAAAAACTTATTTATTGATATATAGCATGTTTAAATTGACATGACCATTTCCAGAGATGCATAGGAAAGTTTTTGAAATGATTTTTTATAATATATCTTTTATTGTAAAAATGATCATCCCCAAAGATCTAGAGGGAAACTCTTGAATTAGAAGCTTGTACATAAAACATTTTTAATCGTGTCTACATTATTTCCAGTGATTACTGTAAAAAACAAAATCTAACTATTTACTCCAAAAAAGAGTTATAGTCTTGTTCCCAGCACTCCCAGGGCAAAAAAGAACTGTAAAACACGGGGTTTTGTAGCATGTGCTTTTTTAAACTAAAAAGACCAGAGCTAGAACAATTTAGGTGGAATTAAATTTGATTTAAGTTAGAACTAAGATAGAACTGAATTAAAACCGAATTTCAACTAAACTTGTATTGAATTATAACTATAACCTATTTTAATTAGATGAGACTTGAATTAGAAAGGACTTGTAATAAAAATTAGAAGTTCGCCAAAATAAGATGTAAAACGCTTGAGCTACAAGATGCACAAGTCGAGGAGGCTTCGAAACTACAAAGCCGAAGCAAAAGCAACAAGCATTGAATCAGAACTACAGTTTACACAGATTCATAACAATTTCATGTAAATTGGAAGGTGTCATTACAGTTTCATGTCAAGCTGGTTGGACATGCAATTGGCAACCACATTGATACCAATCAGAAGTTAATGCACAGACTTGTGCATGGAGATTTCGACAAGGACAAAGGGAGTGTTGGGCTCAGACGCTTTCATTGTAAGATCAAAGAACATATGCCTTTAGGTGAGACTTCGGCTCACATACTTGAAGGTTGAACGAAATAGTAAGAACACAGATTGACCTAAATAGGAAAACAAACAACAAACCTTGACAAAGCCAATAACAACCTAGGAAAAACCAAAAGCGTGGGAAAACAAAAAACAAAAACAACAATTTTGGGGAAGTCTTGAGGAAAGGGGGGGGTCCAGCCAAGAGTCTCTGAGACTTGTTTTTTTGGTTTTCCATTTTTTCTTTTTCCTAGGTTGTTATTGAATTATTGGTGTTATCATTTTTTTAACTTATTGTTTTCTACTGCAAGGTATTCAGTGTTTTTGTGGTTTTGATTGTATTTTTTTGGTGATATGTTTTGATTGTATTTGTGAAAAGTTATCTACAAATACAGAAAACCAAAAACCCAGGCCCCATGGCCACCCCTTCTGTTTCGAAAACACCTGGAAAATACACCCGTACAACGTCCTTTTCTGTAAAAATAGGCATGCCATGAACCATGGGGACCATGGGGACCATGGAGGCCATGGGGACCACGGAGTGTTGCAGGAGCAGTGATTTTGAACTTTGAACTCACTTGTGGAGTGTTGTCACCATGGAGTTCCTTTTGGCAGTGACTGTGGAACGAACAAAACATAAGTGCTTTTGATTTTGATTTCGCTGAATAGATGTGCGCATTTTTTGTGATCATTGAGTTAGTTGACCGCAGCCGCTTTCGTTTTCGATCGTGGCTGGCACACGGGGTGCTTGTGGATTTGGTGTGTGGAACTGAGTTTATTGCCAAGGGGTTGCAGAACCTAGTGGCAGATGTGCATTGTGGAATGTGCGTCATCGGTTGATGGAGTTGCTGATAATCTTGACAGGTGCGATGGCGGCCATGGCCACTGAAGCAGGTGTGGCAGCCGCTTCCACGGCTGCGGTGGGTTTCGGCCTCTTCAACTACAATCGTTTGAGCCTCAAAAATGTATTCAGAAGGATGCATTGTGTAGAGTTCTTGGTCGTTTCACTTTAACTATTTTAATCTTCTCCTTGTCTCACACACTGTTTAACAAGCCGGATATCAGCAAGGACCTTCCATGAGAACACAACATTGTGCTCGTCGAGACTTTCCGTCAATTAGCAATTTGCCTTGGCAAGGTGCCAACTACCTCTACGATGCCGAGTTTCGATACGAGAGGCTTGTCAACGTTGCACAGATCGACAGGGTTCGCTAGCGCTTGGCAAAAAGGCAAGTTGCGGGTTCATGCGGGTTCTATTTTCTAGGAACAAGTAGCTACTAGGGGCTCCTGGCATCGCTATATACTTGGAGCAAGTAGCAACTAAAACCATGGAAAGACCTTGTTGGCCTTGTCGCTGCAACTTGACCTCTCTTTTACAAGTTTATGTGCTAAGTAAGGCTATATGCTTCGATGTCCTTCCTGGGATCATTGTGTTTCCACAAGTTACTCTATTGGGTCAAATGGTCCCAAAGTGGCTACTGCAAGGACAAGGTGGGAGGTCAGTGAAGGTCTTTTTGAAGAGACCAAGAATTCTTGAGATGTGGATCTTCAGGTTCACACAAGGCCGAGAGTACGCCTGCGACCAGCAGAATCAGCAGGACCCCCAAGCTGCCCAGGTAAACTTGGTTTTGCGTACGCAAGAGACCTACGTTAGCAAGATCAAAGTTCCACACTTTTGCAACCTGGTTCGTCCAACAACATGCTCAGGTACCGAAATGACTTGAGAACTCTTTCTGCACTGACCATGGTGAAGAACAACCAGTATGCGGTCATTCTGCCACGCTTGGTGCTGCCCCAGCTGGGCCAATCAGAAGGATTTTAAGCAGGGGTTGACTTGAAGATTGACCTCCATGAGAACGCTTTGTAAGTTTTTGTTGTTTTGAAGTCAGCACATTTAGTGTGAACTTGTGAAGGGGTTAGAGTGTCAGAGCTTACGGCACTATTCATTCAGTTTCGTGACTTAAACAACCGGGAACGTGGATGCTGCTTTAATAATGCTGTCAAAGAACGATTCCAAGCAACAGATTTCAGGGTCTGGCCGCCTTGGATATGGCCTTGTGCGTTGCCTTGTACTGCCTGGGAGCTCAACGCGCTGAAGGCATTGAACCAGTTAAGAGTCCGATGAAAGTCCCGTCTTCGTGTCTTGAGGTGCTGGTCGTTTGGGTCTCCACGGTCCTTCTCCGCCGGGTTGGATCATGGGGTCCGCTTCTCAGTGGTGAAACTCTTCTGTAATTGCTACCGCGGGTCTCAGATATGTTGCAAGTGAGAGGCGGATGTGGTTTAGAAACATTCCAATAAAAGAGAACCATATCCAGCGCAGAGAAACATTGCAAAGCAAAGTAGATTGTCACCAAGTGGCAAGGGGCAACGGACGCTTACAGTAAACCTCTGGCTTTTGTATTCTCTTGTTCCCAATAGTTCTCATGTCCTAAGCACATTGAAGCACATCGTGCGCTAGTGATGGTGCTCAAGTCCGTTTGAGGCTTTGGCTCACGAACAATGCTGCCTCCTTCAGCTGCATGACTCAAAGGATTCGGGTTCTTGATTGGGCATTCGGCATGCTTTCTTGGAGCATGGTTTGTGAGTTCACTTTGATTCGATTCCAGGTTGCCATCGCTGAAAAATCAATAGTAAACGCTTTGAACTCTGTCCCTTTTCTAGATCTGGAGTTGTAGCGACAGGGGGGAACAAGCACATGATTCCCAATTTCTATCAGAGTGCGCCCTGCTTAGTTTTCTTGTGGAAAACGCTGACAAAGGTTCACACAAATCCAAGGCTTCATGGGACTTGCAATCTTCATGGCCCTTCATGCATCTTTCAGGGCTCAGGCACCTGTGTGAGTCAGTTGCACATGCTGTGGGTTTGGTTCGAGGTGCTTAAACAGCAAAAAACGTGGACAGTACAGTGCAGTGTGTCAGATTTGTCCAGCACAGCAGGCTGCATCTGTCAACCTCCTCACCCGCAAGATCAGGGTGCCTGTGCCGTCAATGAGGCAGCTCGACAAGGCGAGCGGAAGGGATCCGTGTGCTGTGAGTTTTGTTTAATTGTTTTGTGAAAGCCTTGTTACTACTAGCGTGGCACTTGTTTCTAATAGCTTCTTCTTACTACTAGTAAGGCACTTGTTACTAGTAGCGTGGCACTTGTTTCT